GAGCAGGGAGCCCGATGTGGGGCTCGATCCCAGGACCCTGGGATCATGACCTGAGCCAAAGGCAGACACTTAATGACTGAGCCACCCAGGCGCCCCAAGTCTTATCCGTTCTGGGAATGGTGAAAACTTACCTGAAATATGGATCTCCAAATGCCAGCCAAAGGCCAACCTTACACGCAAGTGTTTCAAAGAATAGCAGGCAGGCCTGACTTTTGTGCACACTCCCCTCCTGTTGAGGGAACAAGGAAGAATTCAGGGTTATCAAAACTTAAAAACAGTCCCAAAATGCTGGGACCCAGATCTCTGAGGGGAGGCCACTGCTTGGCTGGTGCTAGTGCCTAAGAAGCATAAAGGTGACACATCCCCTACTCCCAAGCCCCACAGAGCTGGGTCTCAGGTATCTGAGGAGGAAGTGTGGGCTGATATTGGTGCATCTGAGGGGGTGCAATGAGGCCCTTTTGATCCAGTCCTTCACACGCTAAGAACGTAGGAAACACGTTTAAAAATAAGTAACTTGCACAAACTAGAAAGCAGCACAGCCAGCACGTGAACACTTGTCTTCTGACCTTGCATCAGAATGCTGCTTTGTACTCTATGACTCCTTGAAAGATGAAGCAGCAACTTTGTGATACTAAAATATTAGAACTGTTTTTTAAAACAGCTCAATTAGAGCCAGTCAAAACTCAAAACTTGAGGTAGTGATTCAAACCAGCAATGTGAACAAGAGAAAAGAGGCTAATTGACTACCCAGGAAGGGCCACAAAGGATAACAATATAGTTTAGGGGCTCTTCTCAGCTTTCCAGATTCAGACATTTTTAGTTCAGGGCATTCGGAGTTTATCAAGAAAATGGGTCTTCCTGGTTACATAACCAGCTTCTTATCCAATCCTAGAATTCCCCTTTTGCAACTCCCTGCCACACACTGTGGCTTCTAGTCACAGAATTGCTTCTAAATGCTACAGACACTGTAGTGTTTGTTGCCTAAACTGTCCTCTTTTCCTAGAGGGTCCTCCTTCCTATTCCCATCTTCTATCTCCTCTACTCCCTTTCACCTGGTTGATTCCTCCTCCATCCTATGAAACTGATCCAATGTCACCCCACCTAGAAAATCTCACCCTAGGAATTATATATAGCTATAGATAGCATGGTTTGATATTTCTGTAT